AAGGCCTTTTCAATTTTTCATCACGTCATCGACCATCCTGAGTATTGTGATGTGGTTAGGCAGTCTTGGCAATGTAATCAAGTTTCTGGTTCAAATCAGTTCAAGGTCCTTAAATCCCTCAAAGCATTAAAGCCTGCCCTTCGAAGATTGAATAAGCGGCACTTTAGTGGCATCTCTCAGCGTGTGAAGATCGTGGAATCACAACTTGATGAGCTTCATAGGACCATTCTCAGTGCTCCAACGCCAGAGTTAGCTAGAGAGGAGCATCTTATTAGAGCAAAATGGAGACTCCTTAGCAAAGCTGAAGAGAAGTTTTATCGCCAGAGATCTCGTGTGAAGTGGATGCATCTAGGCGATCGAAACACTGAGTTCTTTCACAAGACTGTTTCAGTGAGATTAAACAGAAACCACATTCACTTCTTACAGGATCAGAGTGGCAGAAGAATCTCCGGTGACTCAGATTTAAAGTCCCATGCTGCGGCCTATTTTGAGGAAATTCTTGGGACTACTAGCATGCCTGAGTCTCCCTGTTCTACCTCTGTACTTGCTGATCTTCTCTCTTTTCGCTGCTCAGATATACATAAATTAAGCTTGATTAAAGCTGTTTCTGATGAAGAGATAACGAGCACTGTCTTTGCTCTGCCTTTGGATAAATGCCCTGGACCGGATGGATTTTCTGTGGAGTTTTTCAGAGCGTCTTGGAGTATTGTTGGTTCTGATATTGTGGCTGCGGTTCAAGAGTTCTTCCGTAATGGTCGTCTGCTCAAGGACTTCAACACAACAAAAATTGCTCTTATTCCAAAGTTTCCCGAAGCTTGCAAGCTTGGTGATTACAGGCCCATTAGCTGCTGCAACTTGGTATACAAGATTATTTCAAAAATAATTGCTAACCGGCTCAAGCCAATTTTGCAAGAATGTGTCTCTCCAAACCAAGCTGCGTTCCTGAAAGGCAGGTTGTTGGGGGAAAACGTTCTTCTGGCATCTGAACTAATCAGACACTATCAACAATCATCTTGTCCAAAGAGCTCCATGCTAAAGGTAGACATTAAAAAAGCTTTTGATACGGTCTGCTGGGATTTTATTTTGAAGTTGTTGGCTGCTCAGGAGTTTCCTCCGTTGTTTTGCATCTGGATCAAAGAATGTATATCCTCCCCGAGATTCTCAGTGGCCATCAATGGGGAGTTGGCTGGGTTCTTTGCGGGCAAGAAAGGCTTAAGACAGGGAGATCCGTTATCCCCATACCTCTTCATTATGGTTATGCAAGCTTTGTCTAAGCTATTGGAAAATGCTGCAGACAGAGGTCAGATTGAGCTTCATCCAAAGTGCCTTACTCCAAGAATCACTCATCTGCTCTTTGCGGATGACTTATTGGTTTTCTCCAATGGTTCAAGGGTTTCTTTGGCAGGTGTCGCAGAGGTCATGACCACGTTCAAGGAGATTTCCGGGTTGGATATGAATCCTTCAAAGTCAGAAATATTTTTTGGTGGCTACCCGGAAGCTGAAGTTAGAGAATTATGTGCCTTTGCTGGTATAAACTTGGGATCCTTCCCTACTCGTTATCTTGGTCTCCCACTCAACCCGACCAGAATATCTTTTGCAACCCTGCAACCTTTTCTTGAGAGAATTACAAGCAAGCTGCATTCTTGGACTGCAAAATTTCTCTCTTTTGCTGGGAAAATCAGATTGGTTTCTTCGGTTATATATGGAATGGTCAACTTCTGGAGTAGCGTGTTTGTCTTGCCAAAACGCTTTTATGCCAAAATTGATTCCTTATGTGCGGCTTTCCTTTGGAACAACAAGACTGGTTCAGCTTCTGGAGCTCGTGTTGCTTGGAAAGATCTCTGTAAACCAAAGTGTGAAGGGGGGCTGGGTATTCGCTTGCTTGAAGATTTTGAGATTGTTTTCAGGTTAAAGCTTATTTGGCAATTCTTCTCTAATTCGGGTTCTCTTTGGGTTGCTTGGTTGAAAGGGAATATTTTCTCAAGGAAGAGTTATTGGATTACAGTGGAAGCTAATCGCCTCTCTAAGACGGTTAACAGCTTGCTTCAGCTTAAACCGACTGTCACTATGCTTCTCAAGTGTGTGGTGGGTGATGGTCAATCCGCTTCCTTCTGGTATGATACTTGGACAGATTTTGGTCAACTAATTACCTTCCTCGGGGAGGCTGGTCCAAGACAGCTTCGCATTAGGAAAGATGCGCATGTGGTTGAAGCTTCGAGGAATGGTGATTGGGAATTGCCGGCTGCCCGATCTGAGAACTCTCAAGCTTTTATGATTGCTCTAACTGAGCTTGGAGCTCCTAATGTCAACAATGGCCGTGACTCCTACCTTTGGCGAAATGCCTCAGGTAATTTTTGCCCATCTTTCTCTTCTAAGGAGACTTGGGAACAGCTGCGAATCCATTCGCCACAGGTACCGTGGTCTGAGGTGGTATGGTTTAAAGAGCATGTGCCAAGGTTTTCTTTCATTACCTGGCTGGCCATGCTTGCTCGATTACCTACGCGAGATAGACTAAGAAGGTGGGGCATGAATATCCCTGCCTCTTGTGTGCTATGCTCAAATGGGGAAGAAAGCCATGAGCATCTTTTCTTTCGATGCCCATTCTCCTCTGAAATCTGGGGTTGCTTGGCAGCAAAGTTCCTTCCCAATCCGCCTGGATCTCTTGCAGCCGCTTCCTCTTGGATCATTCTCCACAATCAGCCGCACAACGCCAAAATCATCACCATACTCATGCTTCTGCTCCAATCTGCAGTTTACCACCTTTGGAAAGAAAGAAACTTCAGAATCTTCAACGCCATCGAATCCACCGCTGCCGCTACTCGCCTCGCCATTGATCGCACGATGAGAAATCGTCTTGTGTCTTTTCCAGGGACAACGCTGCTTTCTCCTTCTCTCCTTCAAGTCTATTTTAGTCATCTCTCTTTTCCTTTGTAATTTAAGTCTTAATCTGTCTAATGTTCCTGTGATAATGGGTTAGCTTTTGTAATGGTAGATTAGCTTGTAATCTTTTATTGAAATGAAATCTTCACATTAAAACCAAAAAAAAAAAAGAAGAAGAAAAGCGTCGAAGAAGAAGGGAGTCAAAGAAGAAGAAGAAAAGTCAACAAAAAGATTATGGGCTTAGGGTTGTTTTTAGTAATGGGCTCCGAATAAACTAAGGCCCAAATGAAAAGAAAGAGTGTGTTGTTGTCTGAGTTAAGTACTAAGTTAAAAGAGGGTGTTAGGTCTGAACAGTTAAGAGTGGTTGGAGTCTAATGATGGAGTGTATTGCTTGTGTAAGTGAATCTAGATTGTAGAAGTAAGATGAGAGAGTAAGAGTAAGTGAGTAGCTACTAGCTAGTGAAAGAAAACTTGTATAAGTATGTGTATGTGTGTGTCCTTGTAATAAAGGGAAGTATGAATGAAAAATCTTAAAAAAGAAAGAGAGAGTTTAAGAAAACCTGAGTAAAATTTGAGAATTGCAACACGTTGTCTCTCTTTTGCTCTTGAACTTGGAAGTGTTGTTCACTGAAGAAGATAATCTTCTCCTCTGTCCATTCTCTGACCGCCAGTTTCGCAGCGCCTCTTCTACTTCAATCTTTGAAGCATTTGCAGCATCAACTCTCTCCACAGCTTCGTCCAATACCCTCTTGCTGGTTTCAATTTCTTGAGCCGCTTCCTCTACTTTCTTCAGAACATTCGTCTTTGAAACATTCGCTTCTTCAACTCTCGACATTGCATCTTCCACTCGCCTCGCGATGAATCTCCCGCCGTCACCGCTTCTTCTCAGCGACCGGAAAAACAGCAGAATCCTCTGACGTTACAGAATCTCCCGGACCGGATTCTGATCACAAACCGGATCCTGGGTTCGTCCTCAGCCTAAGGCTTTTCTATATTCAACTTTTTTCTGGTTTCTAATGTTTATTGGTTTAGGATTGGTAAAATTGGAATGGAGATTATGTCAATTGCATTACCTGCTGCATTAGCTTTAGCTGCTGATCCTATAACATCTCTTGTGGACACTGCCTTCGTTGGCCATATTGGTAAATGTTTTCTCTTTGTTTGGTTTCAATTTCACATTTTTCGAAATTTTACATTTTTAACATCACTTAACCATACATATGTAATGTGACAGGTTCTGCAGAATTAGCTGCAGTAGGAGTCTCAGTTTCTGTATTCAATTTGGTGTCGAAGCTCTTCAATGTTCCTTTGCTAAACGTCACAACATCGTTTGTTGCGGAGGAGCAAGCAATTGCTGCTAAAGATGATAATGATTCTACGGAAACAAGTAGTTTTATTTTCCTTGAAGCTTAATGTTTTACTGTCTTCTTTCAAATATTGTTTCTTACTTTGTATATGTTGTTTACTTTGTTGGTGTTAAGGCAAGAAAGTGCTGCCTTCTGTTTCAACATCATTAGTTCTTGCTGCTGGAGTTGGTATTGCAGAGGCGATTGCGCTATCTCTAGGGTCTGATTTCTTGATGGACGTCATGGCTATACCTTTTGTAATGTCTAAACTCATGTTTGATCTTGTTCTATATAGGCTGTTCTTTGAAGTATTATATAAGTGATCTCTCTTCTTTCTTGATATGTAAATTTTCAGGATTCACCAATGCGGATACCAGCAGAGCAGTTCCTCAGACTTAGAGCGTATGGTGCACCACCAATTGTAGTTGCATTGGCTGCGCAAGGAGCTTTTCGAGTTTCAAGGACACAACGACGCCTCTATATGC